ATGTGCTATTTAAGAATAAAGCAGTGTATTTTTCACCTCAGAGAGGTTATGTACCTTCTATTAATTATTATAAGCATTATACATAGTCACTGAGATGAAGAGAAACAGCTTTCCAAGATTAGAGAAACTTGGTCACTTGTGTTATACTTTTATTTGTACAGTGTCTTGTAGTCCTGCCTTCTTGCCACCATTTTCAAGAAGCCAATGAGTCACTTCATTGCCTTCAATAAACATCATTATTAAGTTTGATATTAGGGCTTTTGACTACCTTCTAACTTATACTACCCACATAGTTTATGTTACCATATTCCAGTCCTTAGCCCAAGGTGAAGATTTTTACAGCTAAAGGATAAAACACGTCCATAAGAAGGATCAGAGGTAAGTATATGAACCATACATGCTGATGTTACATCAAGAGACCCTATTGTAAAAGATCAACAACAATGCTAATGGCCACACCACAAAGCCAATTCATGCCATCATGGGCCATGAACTAGATGAAAGATACACAAAGGACAGTCTCTTCTCAAGCTTGTGGGTGGCCAGCAAAGATTAGATCAGTCTATGGATGATCCCAATGTTCCTACAAACACCTAAAGATGGAAATGCCTGAACATGTCTTATCCCAGGAAGGCTAATTGTAACAAGCAACACTGATCTCAGTAGCTGCCTAGGAGACACTTTACAGCTGTGAATGATCTCTCCAGAGATGTTGTGCAGATGAAGCAGGCGTGTGAATTCATCGGTTTTCCCAGGGCATGGTACACTTCAACACTGAGACATTTGTGTCAGCACCTCCACATGCTAACACCTTCTTCAGGTACAAACCTACAACTAACTTCATAAAATGCAACAAAACAACTACCCATCAGATCATTTCAAGGAAGTCTAATGTCAATTCCTCTGAAGTAAACAGCTGTGGTTCTGCTGCTTCCAGGCTCTTTGATCTGGAATGCAGTGAGACCATTTTTTAAAAGCTTTGACTTAAAAGAAATTCATGATCTGAAAAAGATGACTACATTTACATCATAAGATGTTCTGTATTTTCACTTCTGTATATTTTTGCTCTTGGCAGTGAAAGTGGGAAACCAGTAGAAGAATCTAACCTCACAACAAATACTAGGAGTAATACAAGATATATGAGGGGGAAAAAAATCCACACTATGATGTTCTTCTCTTTTTTTTCCTAGTAGAACCATGTTTTAATAGTTAAAAGATAAAAATTCCTTGCTTGGAGTTTACTAGCAGTAATTTGAGTTACTAGTGATACAAACAAGGTCAAACCTGGGTAATTAAGCAGCTAGCTACAGCAGGAGCTGGAGAAGTATCCCTTACTGAATCTGAATAGTTTTATGGTTATTTTCACTTTAGTTCACATTTACATTTAGTTGAAACAAGGAAGAATTTATCAGATATACATTCCCTTCTAGATTACAACAAAGTCTTATAAAATTGCTGTTTAATAATTATTATCTGAATGGTGTTTTATACACAATTTTGTGGGTTTTGGACAACAACAACACATGATACGAAAAACATCAATAATTTAATTTAGCCTTATAGACATTCCGTGCTGATAACGAGTACACTGGAATCAATGCTAGAGAGTGAAGTTTAATTAGCTCATTCTTGTCACAAAAGATTATTGAGATTCTGGAGTTTAAAAAAAAAACTTAGGACTACATAAAAGAAAATAAATAAGGTATAATTCAGGTGTATAATCTGAGAAATTCTGGTCAGATGCTTCCTGACTCTGAAGATGCAGATGTCATAATTCATGACCTTAAAACTGTTTCTGCTTCTGTGCATGTAAACAGCATCCCATACTGAAATTTCACAGCAGAGTGGCTTTGGAGACAAAGGCAGCCTGGGAAGTTTCTTGTCTCCACTTTCATCTGCTCATTCCTGACCCTAAAAACCTATGCCATCCCTTCAGTTGTAAAAATACAACTGTTCATTGGGCTTCATTGCAAGTAGATCTCTGAACAATCCAGGCCAAAAATGCCTCCCTCTTTGTGCCCCCCTTCTTTTTAAAAAAGGTTATTTCAAATCTGGGCCATTTCAATGATTGAGTTGCTATCACAATCCTACAAACACTTGCAGTGTCAGGGCTGGGCAAGGAGCTGCATCACAGGGAGGGAACCAGGGACTGGACTGGGCAGGCGGCCTAAAGCAGCTCTGTCCATGGACTCAACAGCATTGCACAGCCTGGCACATACCCTGAGCCTGAACCTGGATAAGTCCACAAATTAAAGCAGCCTTTTGGCGAGAGCATTCACAAGGTAGGTGAAAGACTTGGGGTATTCCCCCTTCCTGAATACTGCTGAAATCTACTAGCTTTCACTTGAATCTTTCAGACACTGAAAGTATTACAGGATTGCCATTCTATTTAACCTTTGAATGACTACTCAGAAGTATTTTTCCTTTCTTCTGTCTCTCCACTCCCCTCACTATCACCATTCTACACAACTGATCTAATCCTGCTGGAGCACTGGGATATATATTTAAGGGATTCTTGATCACATCAGGGCTGTTAAGCACAAGACAGTACCAGCAAAGCAGCAAGTTCTCTTCTTTCCCACCTCCTCTGAGTGCTGCACCTTTCATGCTGCAACTCCTTCTCCCACCCACATGCCTCCCAAGGCTCACCCACCTGCACTACAATGCTGCACTAGATCCTTGTCATACAGCAAGGTGTAGAGCGGCCAGCCAAAGGAAAGGTCTGCCTCCAGCCCCTCCTCCTCCTCCCTCTGGCTGTACAACACAACCAAGAGGGAAAACGGCACAGAATCAAGTGTTCCACTGCTATCGAGGCACTAAGGTAGCACTGGTACCTAATACTTGCACTAGCATTGGTTATCTTGCAGGATTACCATGGTATCACCACATCAGCCTTGAAGTGTGTGAGGATAACCTTTTGGTCTTGTTGCACTACAGGTGACTCAAAGGACTGCCACATGTAAGTATAAATGAATTGAGAAACGCAACAGAAGATGCTATGGCCCCAGTTCAAAGCTATCTTACATGTGGATTTGGACCTCATTTCTGTTCTTATTAACTATCAGTTAGCTAGTACAGTTAATTTTTTCTCTTCCTCTCACTGCACCCTGCTGCCTTGGAGGGATGTACTGCAAGTCATCTTGGTTTATTGAGACCCCAAAGCCTCTTCTGACAGTGTTATGATTTTCTACAACATCTTGCCAAAGGGCACAGAGTTGGAAGACATGGTTTTTATGCTAGCAAAATCAACATGTTTATGCAGCTGCATATTATCCCCAGTTAGCAACAAGAACAATAAATCATCAACTTGCTGTAGAGTATGATAATCTACTTTTCCTGGAGCTTACTGGCAAAATTCAAGACACTGCATGGTAAAATGTTTGATGTGGTCACTAAAAATCAGAAGTAATTCTGACACTAAAAATGTTATTTTCAATAAATCTCTCAAATTCTGTAATGTTTTATCTATTTCTTTTTTGACCACAGCCAGATGGAAAGATGGGTCCTTTTTCTTTCTCGCATTTTGGTTTTGTTTTGGTTGGTTTTTTTATCTACTTGGAAGGGAAAAAATGCAGCTAATCTCCAGTGGATAAACTGGCAAATGGGAGAGCTATAATCTACCTCCAAGCAGCACAATGAATTGGCATCTGAGTATTTTCCTCTTGCCATACATCTGGAGTTTAACTTTGGGGAAACTCTGTCATGAGCTAATTGACCTGACTGTGTTTTAATTAAATGAAAGAAAAAAGCTGAAATTCAAATGTAGGCAGCTCAATGGTAGTTTCCATAAGGAACTGCCAATACTGCAAATGTTAATTGGACCTCCCACTGGCAATGAGCTAAACAGACTGGGTAGCAACTACTTCACAGGGATGCAGGCTGCTGCCCTGAAACAGCCAGAGGGAATCCTCCTGGGATAACCACA